GAGTTGGCCTATCATCTCCTTAAAAAGAGAAAAGAAGAAAGTGTCCTTGCGCTCCTCTCCCATGAGATTTTTCTTTAGGCCACTAGATGGCAAAATTTGAGATCTTATACACTTGGGAAGAACCGTCTGATGCCTTGTAATGGATGACCTACCCGCTGAAAAGTACGAAGTGAGAAAATCAGAGAAGAGGGTCCTGCTGACTGACACTCAAGCTACCCCGTCCTCCTCTCTGAAAATCAGAGCAGTACCGAGCGGATGTCAAGCTCACAAGATCTGTTCTCACCCAACCATCTCCTAACTCACTCAGAGTAATCACTTTCCTGTCTGGACATAAATTTCTATGTCTAGCAAATTCTCTTGAAATGTATCCTTTCCCTCTCTGAAACCAGAACAGCTACTGCGGGTTCCGTGGAGGCGGAGGGATACGGATGTTCTGCACTCTAGAGGGGCAGAGCACTCCGCACAGTGTTTGTTCTGAGAGGTCAGCTAAGCAAACACAGCACTGCTCGCTTTTCCTGACTCTGCTATGCTCTCCCGGCATAAGCTGTGATTAAACGTCCTCTGAATTTGTTCTAGTTCTCTAAAGCTGACTCAGCCACATTTACCACCTGCTTCCTCTGAAGAGAGTTTACAGGGTTAATGAGATAATGCTGCCAAAGGCCAGATCTTTGAATGAAAGCTGCTAATTATAAAGAAAGCATCCGTGGGTGTGCACATAGTTAAAGCCTGACCTTGCATCTGTGTCAAAAAAATGCTCTTGAAGCAGGTGATATCATCTTACCACAGGTAAGAGCATTTTTTATGAGATATAAAAATGATTAAGAGGTTAAAACCGGGACTTGGAATGAAGAAGTATCCAGGAGACAGCTGTTCTGTCTACAAAAAAAAAAGGCAAAATGTTCTTTTTATTGCTAAGAAAAGTTGCACGCGAGTAGAAATGCAACTTCACTGAGAACAGACAATGGGAGACAAGCATTTACACGTGACAGGATGACTGACAAGATGTTGAAACGTTTAGAGAAGAGAGCGACAGAAAGCAGACATCCTACACGTTTTTTATTTTAAACCTGACAGTCTCTTGTCTGGCCTGTGGAACATGATGCAGGTTGGGGGCTGCTAGCTGTAGAAGCCACTTTATTTCTATTCAAGACACAACAAGCTTGCTCAGTGGGGACACTGCCTGTGGACATTTTTTCTCTTTGACTGAGTTACTAATCTTTTTCTCTGTTTTTGTTTGCTCTCTTTTTCTTTTCCCCTCTTTCTTTCCTTTCTTCCTTCCTTTCTTCCCTCCCTCTTTCTTCCTTCCTTCCCTCACTTTCTCTCTCTCTCTCTTTCTTTCTTTCTTCCTTTCTCACTCTCCATATAACATTTCCCACTGGAGGACTCTTCAATCTAGCACACTAAAATGGTTCTTGTTTAATTTCACTACCAGGTAGGAACACAGCACAGATCCTCATGAAAGGTCTGAGGCAGCCCCTAACAGTCTGGTGTCTGAGGAGCACTCCCATCCCCTCCCTGTTAGAGAAACTCTTCCCAAAGTTCTTAAACAAACACTTGGATCCCTGTCTTCTCCTGCTTCCCTTGCCTGTTTCCTTTTCACCTCTTTCCCCCTCGTTTTCCAACTAATATTTAGTTTTATCTGTACCAACATCTGGCTTCGGCCCCTAAACATGAACTGTTAAAATTACACCATAGTTCATACTGGAATTGTTATTTTGGGTTTTGGCTTTGTAATCTTCCTGCAGTCAACAGCACATAGACAACAAGACCATTCCATGTGAGACTTTTGTCATCGTAGCCATCTCCAAGAACAAGTTGCATACATTATTTGTTAGGGCTTCTTTGGAGGATAATTTTGATTGGGAAAAGTTCTTTCTTTCTGTTTTGTTTTGTTTTGAGTCAGAGTCTCTTTCTGTAGCCCAAGCTGGCTTTGATTCCTGCGTAGCTTAGTTTGGTCTTGAACTCACAATCCTCCTGCCTCAGCCTCCCACCTTCTGGAATTACAGTTTACATCATTACACCTATCTCAAAGGTCTTAAACAGATTTCTTTTTCCTACTATAGAAGCTTAGTTTTGTTTGTTTGTTTGTTTCTGTTTTAGATGAGTAGGTGAGATCACCAACCTAAGTAAGAATAACATCCAGAGAAAATGAAATGGCCCCCTGTGTTACGGCACTGCTCAGACCAACAGCCAATATTCCCCAGTATCCCTCAGTATTCCCCAGTATTCTCCAGTATTCTCCAGTATCCTCCAGTGTCCCCAGTATCCCCAGTATTCTCCAGCATTCCCCAGCATCTCCCAGTATCCCCCAGTATTCCCCAGTATCCCCCAGTGTCCCCCAGTATCCCCCAGCATCCCCCAGTATTGAGCACAGATCAGATGAGCTCCAGTATTTGACAGAATGATGGAAAATGACCTCCAGTTCTCAAAACAGGTTACACAAACCCCCGCTCCCAAATGGGTAGTGCTCTTAACCGATTTTTAAAAAGAATCTGCTAATCATGTCCTTTTAAACATGCACCTACACATACATGTGCTCCCACAGTCACATACAACACTGCTGCAGGGTCTTGCTTATAATCTGCCAACACATATGGAAAGGGATTTCTTTCTTTCTCTGTTCTTTTTAACCTATTTAATGGTATGTTAAACTCATTGTGTTGAAGTTGGAGGACAGCTAGTTTCCAATGTCATGTTCATGATTCATTAACCATTAATAATAAAATAATAATAATAATGTGAAAACAACTTTCATTTGGATTATGGTTTTGAAAGTTTATTTCTCCATGTAGACTACTCATTTCCTTCATATTCTTTGTAGAACTTTTATTTGAAATATGGCAGTCAGCAACTCCTGTTGCTCAGACTGAAGGACCAAAGGCAGTGCCTACAGTCAGAATCACAGAGCCAGTGTTATGTGGCAGTCATTCATGTGAAAAGTCAGTTCTGTCATGCATGTAAATATGAGGGCTCAGGAGAAAAGAGGAGGAAACTGGCTAGGTAGGTCTGCTGTGTGAACTGCACTCGGCAGCATACCAAGACGTCCTACGTATCTTGTGTCCTCGAGGACTTACCAGCTAACAACCTAACAACACTAGCCTAATAACCACAGGTCTGAGATGAAAGGACGCTGACTAAGGATGTGTTACTCTAAGAAAGAGAACTATTCTTGGACAATTCCAAGCTGTCCTCCACACATCCATACTGTGCAAGACTCTGGCGAATGCCTCACACACAGCACATTAAAAAAAATTCGCTAATCATGTCCTTTTAAATGTGTGTACCCATACACATGTGCTCCCACATACAAATGCACACATACAACACTGTGGCAGGATCTTGAGAATATTCTCTCTTGGGAAAACATTGCTCCAGCCATGATCTCTGATGCCGGTAAACACCAGTCCCTTCAGGATGACATTTGGCACTGGTTAGGGGCTTGCCTGCTGTAAGGTCGCCTGTTGTGCTCTATTTGCCATCACGGAGCACTTGTGGGAAGCAAAGGAAGCACAAACGATGAACAAAAAACACAAGCTGGATGAAATCAGCAGCCACAGCCCAAGGCTGAGAAACAGGCGACAGCCTGCAAAGACTTCCATAGCAACTGGGAACTGACAAAACATTAGACCACGTTCCCGTTCCCCTCCTCCTGCAGAGGCAGAGACCTGCAGACGTGACGGGGAACTAACTCTCGGCAGCTCTTGGGTGGTCTAGAATGCCCCTCCCACCACCAGCCTTGACAACTCTTCTTCGATTTGATTAGTCTCATTTTTCTACCCCGTTTTCATACCCATGTTCAGCCTGTCAGGGCCTCGCTTGTCCCCTAGAAATCCAGGTCCTCTAGGGCTTCAGAACCCGGACCACCTCAGAACCACCTGCAGGAGGAGACAGACCGGAAGACTTCAGAGCCCGGTTGCTGGGCTAGAGGCCTGGCCTGCTCTCTTCAGAGGAAACGGCTGAACACTTTAGGATCTGACCCCTGGTTGCCTTGCATGCCTCTCCCTTCACCACTTCTTAGAGGCACGACGTCTGCTCAGGCTCCCATGGCTCTGTCCTCCCGTACTTGACCTGTGGCTGCAGGCTGAGAGGATTGTTCCTGTCATAGCTTCCAAGACGGCATTTTGACTGCATAACGGACTGTATCTCTGCAGCTGCTTCCAGTCTCCAAAACTACCACACTTCGAAACCTGCCATCCATGTTGTTCCCCTTGGAAACTTCTTTCTGCAGATTTGCTCTACAAGGGACTGCTCTTTATTGGTGCTCTGAGGTCATCCAAGAACTTTCTACCTGTAACCCTGTTGGGGATCTGAACTTGGGTCCTCATGCTTATGTAACAGATACTTCACCAGCCAAGCCATTTTTCCAATCCCCTGTAAACACTACCAGTACCCCCAATATGTATGTATGTATGTATGTATGTATGTATGTATGTTTGTATGTATGTATGTCAGTTTGGAAGCTTTGTCTTCAGTTCATAGTAGTTACATATCTATATGAAAATAAAAGGCTTAAGTCAGGTGGTGGTGGTGCACGCCTTTAATCCCAGCACTTGGGAGGCAGAGACGGGAGGATCTCTGAGTTAAGAGGCCAACCTGTTCTACAAAGTGAGTTCCAGGACAGTCAGAACTACACAGAGAAACCCTGTCTCAAGAGAAGAAGAGGAGGAAGAGGAGGGGGAAGAGAAGAAGGAGGAGGAGCAAAAGATTTTCAATTATAATCCCCTAACAGCACATGCAGATGGAAGCTGTCTAGTCAGAACTGAAAACTACCAAACTCAGAAAAAATTCAAGTTGTTTCGTTGTTCATTTTGTGTGTGAGACAGAATCTCACAAACTTAGCTTAGGCTGGCACAGAACTTACTGTTTAGCCCAATCTGACCTGGAACTCACAGTCCTCTTGCCTCTACCTCCCAAATGGTAGTATTCTAGGGACAATAGCTGTGCGCCCTCATGCTCAACATGTTCTCAACACACATTGGAAAAACCAGAAATGCAGTTACCTGGGCAATTATGTCTATTATTTCTGAATAACTGTGACATCTTCTCACACAGGATCGAGCCAAAAAATCTTCCACCAGCCGAGTTCCAATACCGTAACCCCTGTGGATGAAGGGAAGTGTGATTTGCACAGTTGATAACACACCAGACCCAACATAACAAGTCAAATTGTCTTAGGTAATGGGTTTTGTATGTGTTCCACAGACCACAGGAGCAGAGGTCAACATATCTAGGAAAAATTAATTAGTCCCTGCAAGGAGAGGGGTCTCACTGTTGTTGAGGCCAGCCCAAACTTGACGGTAAATTCAGATAAGAGAAGGGTGGTTGCACATCCTACTATTTCTCGTTGTTAACTATTGAGAAACAGAGTAAAATGGTTGCCAACTTTTCCGCTGCGGGTGTGGCACCTGGATGCTCGGGCCTTTCTTGGTACCCATGGCAGGGGAGCGGTTTTACCAGAGGTGCTGTGTAAGAAAGAGGGGAATGGAACAGAGAAATATTATTTTGCTGCCATTGAACATATTTCAGTATTTAAGTTTCTTAAGTTCATCTCCCTCCCCTTTCCACCTTTCTTCCCTCCCCCCACCCCGGTGTGTGTGTGTGTGTGTGTGTGTGTGTGTGTGTGTGTGTGTGTGAAGGTGGGCACGGAACTTCAGAAGACACATTTTTCACTCCATAGAAACTGGAATGACAGGTCCAGGGAAGGAACATAACTACCTACTAACTCCTGCCAATAAACTACCTGCAGCAGTAGTTGAGGTACGATTGAGAAAGCCCTTTACAGAGGTGCCGTAACATAACCAAGTGAGTGGATAAGATGGCCCAGCAGCCTCCTTGAACAAGATAGCCCAAGGAACTTAAATTTCTAAGAAGGACACCAAGAGATTCCAGAGTCTCTGTCTTATAAGAGCTTCTAATCCAGTTACAGATATAAGATCTTAAACTACCAGCAAAAAGGAATATTATTTTTCCTTGCCACTTGTCAAAACAAACGGCCTTTACTTGCACAGCCATATATAAAAGGACAAGTGAAACCATTTGGACAGAGCAACAGAAACCCCAAGAAAACCAGTGCTGGACTTTTCCAGGGCACTATTCGTGCTTTGGAACCCCAAGTGGAAAGATCTCTGGTAGACTGGCAGTTACAGGGAAATGGCTCTGAGGTCAGAGTCCTTAATAATTCACCAAATCCACTGAGATATTCTATTTATTAAGACCAGGGCAACTGTACAGGAGAGACTGATGGCTCAGCTTCCAAAAAGACAAGAGTTTTCTCCAAAAGACAGCTGAGCGGGGCCTTAAATAGTTGTTATTAGTCTTTATGTGTATATAGGCTCGGCCATGGGGTGAGGAGAATGTAATGAGCAGTGTGCATACTGTACATGCGTGGTATGTACATGTTTGTATGTATATGTTTGGCGTCCACCAGAGGCTATGTTTCTACAAGGTATTTGTATTTACACTGTATTCATATTTATGTGTGAAATATAAAATGTGAAATGCTCTCAGAAGCTATTCAAGAAATGCGAATGTGAAACGTTTTTATCTCAAGCAAGGCCTTGGTACAGCATCTCAAATTTCTCACTTTGCCCGCTATGACACTCACATCTGTTAAGTTGCACACTCGGTTCACCAAATGTGCTTTTAATCAAATAAGGGAGTTTCTCTGTCTCCTACAGCTATTCCACAAAATAACACAAAATCACCAACATAAGTCAAATAAATTGGAGTGGTTTCTGGAAACGCTACATGAGATGCATGTGTCCTAAGCCTAGCCAACAGTATCATTTCAGCTGAGGAAGAAGGGGACAGGGCTGCAGGCACTGGCTCGAAGTTTGTGTCTTTGCAAATACAACTATCAAGAAGTGCAACAAGACTATGTGTACTAAACTGAAAGAACTTCCCCCCAAAGAAGGGTATAAGTACAAGGAAATGGAAGAAACTAAGAATTTAAATGTTCTCCCAAGCTTTCCTTTATGGTGCTTTTTTCTCAGTCTTTTCTTGGAAAAACACCCGGACCCTTTTTAATACTCTTAAAACCTAGGATTTATGGGTGAAAACAGCAAACATCTTAGTTACAAGGCATAGATAAATCAAGCTGGACCTGGGCTAGAAGCTTCCTCCCTTCTAACCACTCTCATAGAACTGGCTGTTACGGGCTGGAGAGATAGCTCAGAGGTTAAGAGCAGTGACTGTTCTTCCAGAGGTCCTGAGTTCAATTCCCAGCAACCACATGGTGGCTTACAACCATCTGTAATGAGATCTGGTGCCATCTTCTGGCATACAAGGAGGCAGAATGTTGTATACATAATAAATAAATAAATCTTTAAAAAAAAAAAAAGAACTGGCTGTTACGCAGGCTGCTGGAGAAGCGCCAATAGCAGTCTTACTCAGCTGTGGGTCCCGTGTGCAACAATACGCAAGGCGAGCACACTGGTGCAATAACAGCAAGTCTGTTCCGTGGTTACCACTTTCTGACTGGATTTGATGACGTCTCCACAGGAAGGAAACCCAGTCAAAAGCCTGTGGCTGGAGAGATCCTAGACCCTAGCAGGGAAGCTACTGTTGCTGCTAAGTGGGCGTGATAAGCATATCAAACTGCTTTACAAATAACTGTGTTTATAGATGTATAACGATACTGCTACCAGTTTTGGTAAGAGAGGCATTTTTTTTCTTTTATTAATTTATTTTTTACATTCCAATCCCAGTTCCCTCCCTCTGTTCCTCACACTCCTTCCACTCCTCCCTCCTCCCATCTGCTCCATGGAGAGAGCAAGGCCTCCCATTAAGTCTACTAAGTCTTTCCCATCATCTAGTTGAGGCAGGACCAAGGCACCTCTCCACCCCTAAACCCCCATGTATCTCTCTATATAGAAAGGGCCCCACTAAGTCAGTTTGTACATTAGTGTTAAGTCTTGAATATGATCAAAACACATTGTGTGAGCATGTATGAAGGTGTCATAATAAACCCATTATTATGTGTAATAAGTACATGCTCATAAAACATTTAAAAAGAAAGTTAAAAATAGTGACAATATTACAATAATTTTTAAGTTGTCAGCAGTGATTTGTTTATGCTAAAGATATTGAAAGTAAATAAATAACTGTTGAATATCCAGCCAAAAATGGGGCCTCGGTATCACTCCTTCCGAGGCTTACAGAACACTGGGGATGAAGATGCAGAGACAAGGGGGGGAAGCAGATGTGGAATGCTGGCATGCCGATGTCCTGGCGTGAGGGGACTGCTGTACTCAGCAGCTGTAATTACCCACATACAATTTGCATAAAAGCGGGCCAATCAGCAGTCCGTTATGAAATGGGGAGGGGTTCCTGGGGTCCCTTCCTTCTGTTTTTATGCAGGGAATGGTTGATAGAGGAGGGAGAGACATTTTGCTCAGTGGTATAGCCCTGGGGTAAGGTGCCCATCGTCCTGTAAACAACCCCATTGAAACTCACTGGGAATGCAACAGAACGGGAGAGGTGGCGCTCCATGAGAGAGGCAGGGGTTAGTGGGGATGAGAGGGGCCAACAGAGGATAAAGGGGGTGAATATGTCCAAAACACACTGTGAACGTGTATGAAGGTGTCATAATAAACCCATTATTATGTGTAGTAAGTACACGGTCACAAAACGTTAAAAAAGAAAAAGTTAAAAATAGCGACACTGTTACAATAATTTGGTGATCATATAATTATTTGGGGGAAACTTGAATATAAGCTGGAGGAATCTTCACTAATGAAGGAAAAAGGCTTTATTTAAAAAGGAAAGATTGGATTTTTATATTAGAAATACTTTTTAAAGCACTCAAGCAGTGGAATTATTATAGAAGAAAAAGACACTCCCCTTTCAATTGAGTTTTTTGGTCTTCTCGGGCAACTTCCGTTAGTTTTTGTTTCTTTATTTGTTTATTGCATAGGCCCTAATAGGTGACCTATGCTTCCATAAGCAAACATCTTCACTGTAGGGAAATGTGAAAATTCAAAATCAGATTGAAAATTCCATCATCTTACTAATTTTACATTTGTTCCATAATGTCACCTGCTCATATGTGACTAATAAAGAAATCATTTCCAACCTGGAAAAGGATTATTCTATATTTGATAGAAATAAGGAAAAGCCCCTTCCTATTTGTTTAAGCTGGGTTGTAAGAAATTATGTTCTCCTTTCAGATGTGTTTCATAGAAGCCAAGGAGGAGCTGGGGAGGTGCAACCAGGCATTAGGAGCTGGAAAACACAGGTTCCATTAACAAGCAATAGATTATTAACAGCAGAGACATCTACTTACATTTTATCTAAGTATTTGTTCACATCTTCATCTTTCTCATAATCCTTGCATAGCTGGGCAACCAGAGCTCCATAGGTAAGTACAAAAAGATCTTTGTTCTGTAGGGGGAAATGTTCGTGGTTTTGTTAAGGCAGTTATGACTGTATATTACTGTGTTATTTATTTTGATCTATGGAATCACACCCAGAGATGATTCGTTCACCTCTCCCACTCTCCCACGACTATAAATTTGCACTCTCGAGTCGTCACTTACATTTATTTGCACACACTGCTAGGCTGGGAGAAGTCTATGTTCTATCGTATCTATTGCATACCTTGATGTGTATTTTCATGGAGGAAGGTTTTTTTAAACTACTAGTTTCTAATACAATTACTGTTACCCTGGGATGTCTCATGCTTTCCACTGCCTGTTTTCAGTCGGAAGGAAAGACTGGCGAGGCTCGTTGTGAGTTTGCGTAGCCTCTTCCGAGTCCCAGTTCCACATTGTCCATTCTACAGAGCCAAAGAAGGACACAGAGGATACAGGTACTTGCCCAGCCATCTGGAGCCTGAAGCTCCCTCGACTCCAGCTCTCATGCAGAGTTAATCACTGAGGAATATGTGTGGAGGGAGCAGAGGCAAATGGAGGAGGGAGGTAGAAGTGAGAACACTGTTGAAAATAAGGGTGTTTCACAGAGCACTAGACTTTCATGAGATGTCAATGTGGATTTCAGACTGGAAGGGTCATCCTTACCTCTCCCATCAAGCATCTTGACTTTGTAGGTAGGAGAACAGAGGCCTGATCATGTATGGGTTTATATTTTAAAAGTGGATGTGAATGTATTTAAAAAAAATAACTGTTTATGCAACCAAATAGCTTCTATAAAACACCATGAATTTTGAAGCAAATAATTACAAAGTTAACCCAATGCCTCAATGTCCCCACTGGGGAGCATTTGAATGAGTTGTGTGGGTTTGTATCATGACAAACATGCCTTTATGCCTAGTGGAAATATTTATTATTGACACATTTTTAAAGAAAAGAATCTAAATATTAGTTGGTACATCCAGGCCAACTTATGTAAAAACTAGAAACAAAATGCTATAAGTATATATAGAATAGAAATTATAAATTAATTTACATTGCAGGTTAATTAATATTATAATAGTACATATAATTCAGGTATAGGAAAATAATATGTTAATGCTTTTTCCTCAAACAAAAATAATATTAACCTAACACTGAGGGACAGAAATGTTCAGTTTTATTCCTGTTCTTGTGATATAAACTTTCCAAGAGGCTCAACATAGAACACAACAATGTATTATGTACAAAACTTCTGCCTAACTTAGACACCACAGCAGAGAACTAAGCATTGCCATGTGCCAGTCCTGTAACATAGAAGTAAACAAATGTGAATGCGCAAGGGGAAACAGGAAGGAGAGGGAGAGGAAAGAGGGGAAGGAGGGAGGGGAGGGAAAGGGGTAGAGAAGAAAAAGAGGAATGTGTTTGTTGCTACTTTACACAAATAAGAATTTGTACAGAGAAGAAATTGTGTCCTGAGCATGGTGTCTGTTTTGAATTAAAGCCAAGGCAAAGCCTGCCCTGGAATCTCAGGCTCCCTGCCTCCCTCCCTCCCTCCCTCCCTCCCTCCCTCCCTCCCTCCCTCCCTCCCTCCCTACCTTCCCCTCTTTCTCTCTCTCCTCTCTCTCTCCCTTCTCCCACCCCCACAGGATATATTGAAACATGTTAGTTAGCTTCCACCTGCGTTTCAAGTACATTGACCATAAAGGTCCATTTCTTCATCTTGTTTCATGACCAGAGATTATGCTGTGAACAGCATAACTAGCCTATCTTTGTAGGTCTCACATCCATACTACAGATCCCAAAAAATATCAACAAGAAATTCTTTGTGGTTTTTAAAACAATAAACCCAACCACTTTCATATGAAAATTAGAACTCTAGTAATTTTTCCCAGTGGTTTGGGGTACACCAGTATAAAAAGGTTTTAACTGGTGTGTGTGTGTGTGTGTGTGTGTGTGTGTGTGTGTGTGTTGTGATTTAGGAACAATTTGAATTAAGTGCTATACATTTTTTTGTCATTTGGTAGTTCAATAGACAAATGGTTCAAGATTTCAAAATGCCAGATGAAGTATTTGTAGGCATTTCCAGATGTGATGCTCACCAGTTAGTCAATGCAGCCTCGAGAGCACAGGGCTGAGATTACCTGATTACACTAAAGGCCCACCAGTCCTGAAATAATTAAAACAGCATTAAACATAACCACAAGTTTTCCTACCTGTACTATCTGAATTACTAAATCTATATGAGGAGGATTTTTATAAAAGAGTATTGCTTCAAATTAAATGTGCCAAAACAAAACATTTCAGAAATAAGCAAATTGGAAGATGTAGAAAGGACAATAGCACACACCAAATACAAACACATTTAAGACTAGGGAGACTAGAGGATGTATTTTTAATGACAACATTTTTATTCCTGGTGTTTTGATGATCTTTTCCCATTTAATTTTATACATAATTGACTATACATTTAATTTGCTATTTAATATAACATGAAATACAAAGAATTGATTGATGTTTTCATATTTTTATCTCTGAGGCAAAAGGAATATTTGATACCTGTATTCAAGTCATCCATCAGAAAAGGAGATCCTAAAATTCTGTATAAAGAATTGATTATTCTTCTACACTAATAAAAGATACTAGTAACTATTCCCAGAAGGGTCATTTACTAAACATTACCTTTGCTCCGCTGAAACCTACTTGTAGCATTATTTCCCCAAATACACAAAACATCCCTCAAGGAAACATTTGCTGGGAGGAGGAAGCAAGGCTATTGGAAAAAAATGGTCTTACTATTTTGTGATATTCTGGCCTTTTGTGTGCAGGGCGAGACATCTCTCCTGATAGATGAAGAACGATCTTCAGTTCTTTTCTTCTGTCTGTGACCTAGATGTGCTTCAGAAGTCCTCTCGCCTTTTGTCTTAGCAAGTTCCTCCTTGCTTTGATACAGGAGTGTTCTCTGCTGCCTTTGTCTTTGCTCAATGGAAGGGAAAAAAACAAACAAAACCCCATCAAAAATACGTCAACAGCAGCGCTGACTTGTACTTTTGTAACCTGCTACTGATCAAGGAACAGACTCCCTTGTAATCCAGTCCGGTAAAAGCTCACAGTGTGTGTGAAGTCAGACCCAAAGCACCAAGACACTAAAACCTCTCCAGCCCCAGGGAGTTGATGAGTGGTGTTTTGTTCAGATGCCAAGGTATTGTTTTAAAATCACAAACAGAAACCTTTGCAATCCAAGACAGATCCAAATGTTAGCATTATTCACTCCCGTATTGATTGTTCTATGAATTTCAGAGACGGGATCAGCAGTCTTTGGACACTGAACCCTGCGTTTAAACCTGATCAACAAAAGAATTTCATGTTGTCCACAGAACATTTCCTGCCCCCATTGTGCGTCTTTACAGCATCGGGACAGATGTAGCATCTTGCTGTGGAAAGATAACTTTTCACAATGACAATCAGCAATTTTAAGGAGCCATAATTTCCTTATAGAGCTGTTGTGCAGAATGGATGCTCTACAGTTTAATAATGTATAATGATTCTGGCAGAGGGAAGAAGCCCTTAGCTTTCTTTCGATGGTTCCCGAGCTATTGGAGGCTCTCTTTATTTATGCAAAAGCACATGTATTTAAAGTTCAAATAAAGAAGTCTCATCATGACAAATGCAGGGTGCGGGAGTCCAAAGCTGTTGCAGAAATAGACATGGAAGATTCGGTGGAGAGGCAGTCTTCCGCTTCTTACATCTTGAGACAATTAGTCCTATTGGTCCTGGCGCACTCTTCCTGCAAAGTGAAGACAGGCGAGCACTTTGAAGCAGAGCGTGGCACAGTTGAAAGAGCCTAGGATGGCTGGCAAGGCTCCGAATCAGTTGCAGTTCTCCTGATTACTGGCTGTGTGGCCTTGGACAAGCCACTTTATTGCTGTGTGGCTCAGTTTCCACATCTGTGAAATGGAAATAGTAATACTTACTTCACAGAATAAGTTGACTATCAAAGAGATGATATGCACTGTAAAACACATTATAATGCAGTGTATAAAAATTAATTACTGCAGGCTCTTCTTACAGGTGGATACATGGGATGGAATTCTATACCATGCGAAGTGGTTCTGTTTGTTCTGTGAAAGCATGGTCTCAGGGAAATCGATAATACTTGGTTTAGAGAATTTGGCAGTTTTCTTACAGGCAGACTCACAACATATTTACAACTTCATAGCTTACAGCATAGTTTTCAGGGTCTATATCATTTTAATTCAACGTCAGTCAGTAAAATAGTCAGTATGACACTGGCTGCCATTTTACAGGATAGGAATATAAAAATAAAAAGTCTAACAAAGTCCTTCACTCTGATCTGGATAGTAAGGAACAAAACTACATTTGCAGATTCCAAATACCTCCCCGCTTCATCTATTGTATACATTCTAACAAGGCTGATAAAAAATTTTAGACGTGGACACTAAACAACTATGAATGTGCAATTGACAGCGCATTGCCAATTTGGGGGCTAATTTGGACTTCACGGTAAGAGACCCCTGAGAGAAACAGGAAAGATCTATGTGCCTGTAGTGAGGGAGAGGTGGCACTGTAATCAACACATAGAAGGCCATGGCTGTGTCGTGGTCATATCAAGGCGACTACAGCTTCAAGACGCCATAGGTACCTTTGAAAAGATGACTCTTTGCTCCAGATCGACAAGGCTGTTTACTTGCCATCAGCCCTCCAAATCAGACCCAGGACCTGACTGAGGAAGGACCTAAGTGCCTCGCAGGCACACAGCACACATCATGGGCAGACACAGCCATGGCCACTGTCACTCGGACACTGGTTTTCTCATTTTCAGCTATGAAGCTCAGCATCCTTCAATACTTCTTACCATCAAAGTATGCCTTGCCCCTCCTAGACCCCTTCTTTTTATGTTAAAATACTCCCACTCTTTTTTTTTAATTTATTTATTATGTATAGTGTTCTGTCTGCATGTATCCCTGCAGGCCAGAAGAGGGCACAGGATCTCATTACAGATGGTTGTGAGCCACCATGTGGTTGCTGGGAACTGAACTCAGGACCTCTGGAAGACCACCTAGTGTTCTTACCACTGAGCCATCTCTCCAGCCCCCAACACCCCACTCTTAAACAGGAGAAAACCTAGTTTGGTACTTCGGAACGTAAGTGGCCAATGTTTGCCCAGGAACTAGAGCAGGGAGGAGGAGAATTGGTTCAAAACAATGCCCAAGTGTTGTGTTTCTACTTTTCCTAATGATTGTTAAGCTGGCTAGAATAGAATCTGGAGTCAGGATTGTGAGAAACACTCTTCAGTCTTGTCAAATTTGCCCAGCTGTCAGCCACCATAAGTTAACAGTGTCTTGGACCACACCTCTACCCACCTCTACCCGGGTCCTTTGGGAGGCAGCTGGGCCACTCAGTGAAGACTTGGAAGGTTCCAACATAAGACAACAGTGACCTCCAGCTACCAAAGTACTATACAGAGTCTTGATTCTTCTTATACACCTTTACTGGGATCTAGGGAAATGGTTCAGTGGGTAACATCTAAAAGCAAGAGGACTTGAGTTCAAATCCCCAGTATCCCCTAAAAAGGCAGGCATAGCTTATATATGCCTATAACCTAACACTGACAGGCTGAGACAGATTCTGTAAGCTCGCCAGTCAGCCAGCCCAGCTGAAAATCCAGTTCAGTAAAAGTAAGAAAAGGAAGACACCAATGACTTTGCCTGGTCTCCACATGAATGTGCACAAATACATGCACATGTGCACACTCACACATACATGCACACACTCACACACACTCACACATGCATGCACACACTCACACATGTACACACACATACACGCACACACACATGCGTGCATGTGCACACTCACACATACATGCACACACTCACACATGTACACACACATACATGCACACACACATGCGTGCATGTGCACACTCACACATACATGCACACACTCACACACACACACACTACTCCTTTCTACTTTAAGCTCATCTTTGTGTTTATTTTAAGCTGATTCCCTTATATAAAATTAATGTATCATCTGTTCTGTGGGCCCCCAACCCCCTGAGCTGTAATGCTCAGATCTGATTTCCCTGTCACCCTCTCTTGGTGGTGCTCAATGAGAGACTGTGAAACTGGGTCCCTGTGAGCAGTCTACTTGTGAAAGCAAGCTAACTTTGGGATTCAGTTTATCAAAGTAAACAATAAAGAAAACGGAATTTGAGAAATCCACAGGAGAACACGTGGGACTGGAATACAAGTGAGGACACCCGGGTTAGAAAGGCAAGCACAGTCCTTCTTCATGTGGGTTCTAGCTTTGAATTTTGATACATGTGTGGTTGTGAGAAAAGGGTGTGTGTGGTCACCAGAGGCATAGGCAGGGTATTAGAACACACGTGATATTAGAGTAAAAGGGAGAGCATGGGGCAGAAAAGCTTAAATGTGGGTGGGCAAGGGGTGAGGGGAGTGTTATCCCAAAGCTGGCGCATGTGGCTATGCCATAAAGGAATCCACAAAGCAAATCCTTACAGATTTGCATCAACGAAGTGCTTACTCCAGTAGGGTTCAGTCAGCACTCTACTGTGTCCTGGGAAGCTCCCAGAAGGAATGCTTGATGATTTTCTTATCCATTTTCTCATATACCAGATACTGTAATGAGTGGATTTTAAGATATAGCACCTATCATCATGGGCTGAACTAGCTAACATGTCTGGGGCCCTCTTAGACCCCATCTTCCTTTCCTACTTAGTGAAGATAACTCTGTGGGCCATAGGTGTCATTGCTACGCATGCATTAAAGTTTCACATACGTTGCTGCCCATACAGAATACGTAATAGTACTTGTGACTTCTGTTACAGTGGTGCCATACAGCTCACACCTCAAGCCAGAACTTTCCCCTCAAGGTTACTTTGTGAGGTTTATCTGCAATGATACCTGCCATTATAGATAATTTATTGATACCGGTTAACATCAGGTCAGGATAACTTTCTGTAAAGGACCAGATAGTGAGTAAGTTAGGTTTTGAAGTCATACAGATTCTGTAATAATAACTCCATCCTGCTGTCAATAGAAAAGCAGCCATCCCTAAGCAGACACAGCTATTTTTCCAGTAAAACTTTATTAATAAGCACTGACATTTAAAGTTAATTTAATTTTCATGACACATATTATATTTTTCAACCATTTTAAACTGCAAAAGTCATTTTATTTTTTGGTTTTTTTGAGATAGGGTTTCACTATGTAGCTTTGGAGCCTGTCCTAGATAGAACTCCATCTGTAGACCAGACTGGCCCTGAACTCGTGGAGACCTGCCTACCTCTGCCTCCCAAGTGCTAGGATTAAAGGCGTGTGCCACTACTAACTCCTAAGCCAGACAAAACAAGCTAATTTGACTCCTACACCATACTTTACTAACCCCACCACTATAGTAACCCTTCCATGGTTTCTGAATCCACGTCCTTGCCATTGGATGATGATACTGAGATTTCTTTGGTGATCCTCTGCATCACCCACACAATTTAGAGGGAAATTATTTGCAGAACTTATAAAATGTTTATTCTCTGTTCTTAGGTCACAAAATTCCATGTATCATTAGCAATCTGACTTAGGCAAAACTTGCTAAATTTATTCTATTTCATCTTTTATCTACTTTTGTTTATTTGATCAACGCACTTGTTAGTGTTACATTAAAAAATCTCTGTGCAAAAGAATTCATTATTATTTGGCCAGATCTTTCTTTTACACATTTTAAAGTTATGCAGCCATGGATGTACAAATTGACACTTCGTGTCTTTGTGGTGCATTGTTTTTACTAAGATGGAGTGTGCAGTTAGCCCTTCACTTCTTTCCCCGTAGCCAATCTTGCTGTCTCCTAATATTATTATTCCCAGTGGCCCATGCTTCCATGTCTTTGTTTCAAGCTTTGTGTGTGGTATATTTTTGGGAGTGTCACTTGTAAGCAGCATGGTTGTTTTTAAAGCACTGCATGGGCAGGTTTAAACCAGCTCTGGTATGGGGTTAAAAATGCGTGCCAGGCTACCTGGGTCTTAGTCTAGACTCCTCCATTCATCTGTGTGTGTGGCTAGGCAAATACTTTAATCTTGTCATATCTCAAGACTGGGTTATCGGGGAGAGTCAATGTTCTTAACACAGTTCCTAGCAAATAATGAGCAGTCATTGGTAGTTATTTAAAATCTCTTATTGTTATTATTGAGGTGTCTGATCTCATTTATACTGTGGTTTTGTCTTTTCTCTTTATTGTTCTTGGGTATATTTTAAATGATGTATGGATAGCTTATCTGGTCTTTCAGAGATCATACTTAAAATGTTTATGGTTTATCAAGAGTATGTAGATCAAGTTTTTAATCAATGTAATTAACATTGCTATCACCCTGTTCTATGTTTATCTATTTGGCATCCATTAATTATTAATTACAGGGCCAAATAATAAGCTATTTGTATTTCCCCTGTGAACCAGAGGTCAACTGCCGGAGCCATCACCTTACCTAATGCTCATACACTGAGTTAATATCATCCTGCCCTAAATCTATCCTTACCAGGTTGCAGACATATAGGGACAATCTCTATATCTAAAGCCCTAGATTTGTTTAAAGCTAATCTTAATGTTCCCCTGCCCTGTCTTATCTTCCCCACAGATAGCCCAGGAAAGCTTCTGGTCTAGGCTTTCTCTTCCTTCTCCCACCTTCTGACCCAGGTGGTTGCTTCCTGGTGTGACCTTTCTTGGCATTCCCTTACCTAGTTTCCTGAGGAAAGAAAAAGAATAAATCTTTTGATAGTGTTGGTATTTTTCCACAAGTCCAACTGCTGGGGTTGAAATGTATAACTCCAAAAGTTTTCCTCATGGCTCTTATCTCTTTTCTCTCTTCCTATCTCTCCTTCCCTACTCTCTCAGCAAGAACAGGTCTACTTTCTGTTGTTATACATTTATATTTCCAGGGTTTATTTTCTTGTTTTGAGACAGGGTCTCTCCATGTAGCCCTGGCTGTCCTGGAACTCACTACGCAGACCAGGCTGGTTTTGATCTCACAGAGATCTGCCTGCCTCTGCCTCCTGAGTACTGGAATTCAAGGCTGGTGCCTCATACCTGGTTACATTTCTAGAGTTTTGCATAAAAAGCATCATACATTTTTGTTTTTCAATTATTTCACCTAGAAAATTAGTCTTAATTTATTCATGTTGTTACACATATCAGCTTTTTTATCTTGATTCTGCTGAGAGCAGTGATAATGGATATATGCCAGCATGTTAATTCAGTCATCTGGTGATGGATATTTGAGTTATTTCTAGTCTATGGCTTTTATGAAAGAGGTTTCTATGGATATTCAGGTGTAGATATTCACATAGACATATGCTTTTCTTTATCCGTTACAAATAATTAGGAGATGTGACCATTATATGGTGGGGATAGATACACTTTTAAGAAAGTCACAATTTCCAAAGGGAGTTGTCTCACTTGGCATTCCTGCCAACAGTGTGTGAGAACTCCAGCTGCTGTACATCCTCAGCAACATCTGGTTGGTTAATCTTCAGCATTTTTGGAAGATACTTAGAGATACCTGTTATAATAACATATTGTTATATGTTTAACCTACTACTAATATATAATAATGTATAGTTCTACTTTTGAAATAAAAATAATAGTTTCAACACCTAACTGAGAAATGTTTAGTATTTTGGGCTCATCATTATTTGTGATCTGAGGTCTGTCCTCAGGCTTCATCTACCTCTTGCTGAAATACACCCTCTTGTAATTCTCTTAATGAAAAAATTCTCTTCATCTTTATCTGTTTATTTTGCTCTGTCTAGATGACGCCTTGCTGCTATTAAGCCCCCTGAAGATATACTGTCTTCTACTCTCTATTGTCACTGATGTGAATTCTGCTCTAGATTTATTGTTTTGTTTTTCGGTGCAACGTCTGCTTTTTCTGTCCGGTACCTTTTAGGAATATATCTGTCTTCACATTCTATAACTTTGCTCTGAGGGGTCCAGATAATGAGTATTACTTCTCTGCCTAGCCTCCACCACCCCCCTTGGAATTCCTATTACACAGTAGGATTGGCCTCGTCTATCTTCTGTGTGCTCTGTGCTTTTTGAACTGTATTTTTTACCTTTCTGTGTTGCACTTTGGATGAATTTCTCAGTATGCTGTATCAGTTCACTGATAATGTGCTCCACTGCACCCACCCTAGAATCTGGGAAAAAAAGGTTTACAAATCCAACCAACCCCTGTACATAGAAATTGTATGGTAAATATTTCCTAATTATATAGTACAAACAGCTTACATGTTTGATCACTTCATTCTTATTTAAAACTATTACAACTATTACAAATAATCACATTTTCATATAACCAAGGGATGTTGTGAAAATAAATTTGCAATTTAACTTTAAATCGACACATAGCAAAAGCCTGTTGACAGACATCTTTGTTTTGACGTGACTCTGTTGTGCCTGGCCCCTTCTCGTTTAGAAAACATTTTGGGACCTCCTAGAAATTTTGGATTCCTCTAATATTTGGCAGTTTCCATTTCTCCGTGTTGCAATGCTTTGGCTGTAGGATGTGTTTGTCACTGAGGTAAGAGTGTCTCTGTTTTGCTTCCTAGACTGTGTTGGCTAGTGCTTAACATTCCATGTTGTACAAAGTGTTGCATAGCAAGATGGAGGGCTTCTGCCTAGCAAGTGTGCTGTGGCTGTTTATGATGGGACATTGAAAAGTTCTCTTTTCAGACAAAACTGAGATCCCTTCCTTTCGCCCAGTTGTGACCTGGTGTGAATTTATTAGCTCAGGGTTCACAAAGCACATGAGAAGAGTCTATGATCCTTTAAACATAGAAGGATGCTGGGTCACTTGACACAACCAGTTAAACCAGTGCAATCCTATAAAATGATCAGACCTGGTGGAGTCTAGAGATCAGAAAGGGCCAGCAGCTGGCTGGGTCAGAACTTCCACGATGAACCCAAGTCTCGGTTGTATGCTCTCGTCTTTGCAGAGAAGTGGAACGTGTACCAATTCTTTGATTGCGATTTTGACTATTTGCGGGCAGCAACTGTTCTCCTCTTACACATTCAATTGTCCATGTCAGGTCGGAAAAAACTTCTATTATGGTTCAGCTTTTCTCGTGGTCCCTGCCTTGATCCTCCTGATTGCTGGCTACGCTCTAAGAGGTCAAATGTGGACCACTGTCAGTGAATACTGCTGCTGCAGCTGTACCCCTCCCTACCGGAGAAGCAGCCCTCTGGAGAGGAGACTGGCTTGTCTGATGTTCTTCAGCATCACTGGGAGAGCGCTGGTTGCTCCGCTGACATGGCTGACAGTGACCCTGATGACAGGCACCTACTATGAATGTGCAGCAAGTGAGTTTGCCTCTGTGGACCGCTACCCCATGTTTGCTAATGTCACTGCCAGCAAACGGGAAGAGATCCTAGCTGGATTTCCATGCTACACGTCAGTTCCTTCTGATATCATTCCAGTAAGAGATGAAGTGGCTCTTCTACACAGATACCAGTCACAAGTAAGTTCATGACCTTTTTTCTTCTGATGTATTATTCCAAACTTACTACAGTTCCGACGAACATACCGGTTTTTTGTTTTGTTTTGTTGTTTTTTTGAGACAGGGTTTCTCTGTATTGTTTTGGAGGCTGTCCTGGAACTCACTCTGTAGACCAGGCTGGCCTTGAACTCTCAGAGATCCGCTTGCCTCTGCCTCCCGAGTATGCCACCAATGCCCGGCTCCTACGAACATATCGTGTGTCTGATGTTTCTCATAGTATCTTCTTTCAGAGGACAAGTTAGATCCCATGCATCCAGATGAATTCTACTGGACAGCTGCACACACTTAGTCAGGATGCTGGGAATCCCTAGGCTTCGTTCACACCTGTTGCTTTATCATTTAGTGACTGACAATTTTTTTTAAGTTGTACAATTCTCCATGCTTCATTTTCCTCAGCTGTGAAAGGAAGATAATAATAGAAATTTTCACCTAAATGGTTGTGAATGAGAAAGCTAATACATTTAAAGAGCTCATGACTGTGCCTAGACTCTGTTAAAATAATACATTTTAGTATTATTATAAATATTATCATAAGTATTATCAGAATAGTGCTATATTATTAAATTTCATCTTTCTGTGTGTTTTCACATTTGTGTTCTTCTATATTAACATCTTTTCAAAATTATCGGAAGCTCAATTATGTTTTTAAAATCTCCAATAGTAGCTCTAAATATAATGTTCATGGACGAATTAGTGGCAGAGAGTGGGATGGGATAGGAGGAAGACATGAGCCTGCAATACTTTTAGGTTAAATTGCAGACGTGCAATTTTTCACTTTGGCAAGAAAAAGCCATCACTTTCTCTAAGGGACAAGTTAAAACATATTTTCAAAGCACTAAAAGCATCTTCTATGTTAAAGTACTAATTACAAAGGTTTCCATGGCTTTTGATTTGCTGTCTTTCAGTTATTTGGATACTGTTTTATTAGAAAAAGTATAATCAAGATGCAGAATCCTGAAATACTGCAGTAATACTCAACTGTAGAAAAGTCAGAAAATTTGCATTAAGATATACTTTGTTGCAATTGTTTTCTGGGTTTTCTTTTTTGTTGTTATTTGTTTTGACCAGTCACAAAACCAGCTCAGGCAGAGGAGTTTGGGAAAGCTTGTAAGAGAAAGACCAGATGCAGAGGACATTTGCAATGTCCATCCGTGCCTGTCTACTGTCAGCATTCCTAAAAGCGTGTCTTCTTTACCTTACCTGCCAGCTGCTAAATGTTTCTGCAAGAATGATACAGAAGGGAACAAAAAGATTCTAAGACAATAAAAAAGAAAGAAAAAAGTTACTGTTTAAAAAGCAGGTTCCAAGTAGTCACAAATCAAGCTAGTTTTTCTAAAAAAAAAAAAAAGGAAAACAATAAGGAACTTCAATGTATAGCCTACTCTTGTTTCCTGACTTCTTTGGTTGCAAAAGATAAGAGGAATGCAGGAAGATACATCAATGAGTACTTGGTAGCAGGTTGTTGAAGACGTTTTGGGAGGCTGCCATTAGTGTCTACAACAGCATCATTATCAAATATTAATTAAACCCCCAAGAAACGCATGGGTCTGTACCTAATGATTGAGAAGCAAAATTGGGTTATAAGCAAAGGACAAGGTTTTAGCATTTTATACAAGGTTAATTGGTGGTTCATAGCGTCTATCACTTCAAGGACACTACTTAGAATCCATCCCACATGAACAGGTCAAATTCCTTTGACATATGAAGGCTACACTGAAATGGTTTGACCTGTCCTTCCATCGCAGCTATTTCCACATCAAATGGTCATCACTGTATATGATGCATTAGAAACAAGAAGCAAAGACCCACATCTTAGTTCTGAGGTTTGAAGGACTCCCTCTTGCCATGGGTGCTTCTTGAATATTTGCTGTATTGATTGATGCTTGTGCCTACTAATTATATTCCTACTAATTATGCACAGATGCTGGGCTGGATTTTGATCATTTTGGCAACCATTGCTCTTCTGGTCTCCAACTGTCTGGGAAGATGCTGCTCTCCCCTCACCTCCATGCAGCATTACTACTGGACCAACCACCTCCAGAGTGAGAGAGAGCTCTTTGAACAAGCTGCAAAGGAGCACTCCCGACTTCTCATCAGACATCGCATCAAGAAAGTCTTTGGCTTCCTTCCTGGAAGTGAAGACATCAAACATATTCGTATTCCTTCATGCCAGGATTGGAGAGATATTTCCATACCCAATATTCTATGTGTGGGTGACACCTCACAGGGTCCCTATAGCTTCCTGGGAGACAGGGTGGTTGAGGAAAATGAAGAAGAGAGACAAGAAGGTATTGAAATGAAACCTTGATAGCTGTACCTTACAAAGTTCAGGTTGCTTGATTTCCTGACGCTAGAGTCTCAGTGCGGTCTCTCCCTCTTCTACTGCTTTGATACTTATTTATCGAAGTCCATCCGAGATCTTATTTCCAAAATCATTTTATAGAGAAACAACCTCCCCACACTTACCAAGTGTCATCCTGTATTCATAATGATGAATGTGTCATGTTGGTCCATCTTTAAATGGGTACGGAATTTTAAGTCATGTCAAATTGGCATTTAGTTCCATTAGTGGGTATCTGTGTGAAAATCAATATTCCTCAGCGTTACTTTGTCATAGGCCCATATCAGCTACCTCAAAGGGCTATTGAGAAGACCAGAAACACTTACCACTATGCTTTTCATACCGTGAATGCAAACCAGGGTCACTTTCCTCCTTTCTCTCCGAATTCTGTCTTCTGTCATTGTCTTTCCTCATTCTCATTCTTGGTTTTATCCACATCTTCATTTAGATGATACATTGTTATTGCCTTCTCCTCTTTTCTGAAGTGGTAACAGTGACATCCTGTGTTCATGGGAGATGACACATCATCGTGTCATTAGTATTATGCTATCCTCAACATCACAGTAGGGGTATCTTTAAGATAACTTCTTATAAAGTTTATCCTAGAAGCTTCCCTTCTGTGCTCCACAACAGGAGTTCCAGCTGTGCCCTTTCCATGTCAAATTTTTCCTTTATGCTCCAAATATATTTAATGAACTAAAGCATGAAGCACAACTTCTAGTTGTTTCTAGAACCCGAAGCTATGGGGGTAGGGATGACGCTGGAAAGATGGCTCACTGGGGAAGAGCAAATACTGCTCTGTCAACGACCTCAGTTTGCTTCTCTGCACCCATGTCAGGAGGCCCACACTGCCTGAAATTCCAGATTCATGTATCTAATGCCTCTGCCCTCCATAGGTACCCGCCTCATAGAATCACAACTCCACACACACACACACACACACACACACACACACACGCACGCACGCACGCACACACTCATGTACACAATTTTAAAAATAAAGAAATAGAACCTGGGGGAGGGCACTGGCTATTCTCTGCCAGGCTTTGCTAGATGCAGCCTCTAACATCTGTCATCTTCTGACTGATCTTGATTAGATTTGCTTCAAACCTGATTTCTGCCATGTGCAATTAAGCATGGCTCATCAGACCACAGAGAGATCTGGAAGCTTTTGTTTATTCACTTCTTTAGCCAAATGACTTTGGATTGCCAGAGAACCAACTGCCGATGGTCAGCTTGACTTTCAGGGAGATCAAATAACTGGATTATTTGAAATGCCACCAATTCTAGTAATAATGAGTCTGTGTACTTGACAGAAACAAGTAAGAAAGAATTTTTGAGAAAACAAAACCTCTTCAGGAGTTTCCCCAGTAGAATTTGCTGAGTGTAACACTGTACTAGGTCAGGAGACTTCTCTGTCCTTGCTAACAACCACCATCAACCTTACCAAAGTCTGACCATCTCTCTGGGGGCCTACCTCACTTGTAAAGAAGGAATAATGTTACCCTATCTTCTGGAAGGCAAGGGAGTGAACCGAATGAACTATTGAAGTCCCTTCCTAACCTGATAAAATGTTTATGTTTATTGTTATATAGGTTAATTAATGTCTATAGAGTTTTCCGGAATGACAGAAGACTTGTGTTGCTTCTTCACTGAGTTGAATCTTTGGCGTTCTCTAAAACCATCAACTGGTATTCTACTTTTGAAAGAGCGTTAAGAGTGACTTCTTTCAGGGGGGAGCTGGGAAAGCTAGCTCTGCTTTATCAACTGGGTACTCGGTGATGATACAATGTTGCAAAAGCAATTTTGAAAACAAAGATGACTATGTTGTGGAAGGCCATGCAAGTTTTAGTCCCCTCTGATATCAGAGTTAAAAAATGTGGAAGGCCGTGCAGGTTTTAGTCTCCTCTATTACCAGAGTTAGTAAACACAGAATGCATCATCCATTTTATTCAAAAGTCTCTCCAATCTCTAGAATTCTCAGTGTCCACGGATACAAGAGTGTTTTAATTTCTTCTTGCCGGGACTAACTAGTAGATGAATCATTCTCACCATACTCAGAATTGGTTTATTAGTTTTCAGAACCTTTGCCTCAGAAAGGGACTCAGTAAGGTTTTCAATTAACAGCACAACCAAAGAATGTATGAAGTTATGGTGTTACATCACCAGGAGGAGTAACAGTTGCCATGACAACACTGGGACCCAGACTGGACTGGGTTCTGAAGCCCTTTCTACATCGAACTCAAAGCATGACATAGAACCTTCTGAGTCAGCTAATGATAATCATGGCTTTTTGGTAAAAGAGATGGAGAAATTCTCATCTACAGCGTTTCAAGGAATTATTAACACCTATATAAACATTTGTTGAATAGTATATATCCTTGGGATTTCATTGCATTATGTATCATCCACTTCAAGTAAAATAAATTGACCCCACACAAAACACACACACACACATACACACATACACACACACACACACACTTTTGGCATAGTCTTTTGTTCCATAGCTAGTTAGGTAAAACTTTTTTCATTAAGAACATGGCACTTCCTCCCCTTTATGCTTAATGGATTTACATAATTACAAAACATATAATTAAAATCAATTGTATGTGCTAACACCACCCTGTATTTTGCTGCTAAGTGCTTCTGGCTTGGCAGAGAGAGACTTGCTGACTTCTGCTTTGTCAACCCCACTGCTCTGCCAGGATTCAGATTGCCCCTTTCCCAAAGCTGAGCTATGGTGGATGCTAATGCCTTATGTTATCAACGCTAGTCTATACAGAACTTACTTACACGTTATCATCCTCCCTGTTTCTGTGCTCTGTGCTCATTTCCAGCTGTATTTCTGTTTTAAAATTCTAATTAATAATTGTAATTAGAAACAGCAGTGTGGGGCTCAATGCTGAGTTGCATTCTGTTCCCAGCACCTGCATGTGGTAGTTTATAACCACCTGTAACTCTAGTGCCAGGGGATCCGTCACCCTCTTCTCTCCTCTGGATCCTGCACATATGTGGCACATACATACATACATGCATACATACATACGTACACACACACACATTTTAATAAAAAAGAAAAATGAAACACCTGTGGGAATCTGCTGTTCCCTTGTTTCCAGTTTGCCCTAAAAGGTAGTCACATTTTGAAATAACATGACGAGTTACAGGCCTTCCTAATGTGGAATATATATATCCTTAAAAATACCAAGTGTAGAGATACAATTTTAGTTTCAAAATGCAGTATGCCAAAGTTTAGATATGATCAAGAAAGAACAGAGTGACAGGATTGGGGGAAGACAGATTTAAAACTGGTGGCACGAGCTGGACGGTAGCCTGGATGGTGACAAGCCCGATAATGTGACTTCTGAACAGAACAACCAGTGGGGGCTCTAGACTGGCAAACCGCACTGTTCTTGGTCTAAAACTAAGCTAAGCTCAAGACTGATAAAGCTCTAAGTTCAGGCTGTAGGGAGACTATAGCTTTCATGTATGGTTTCCTCTGTTGCCATCTAGTGGTTTACACGAACAACAGCAACAAAAACAAATAAAAAACAAAACCCAACTAACTAATTAACCTCTAATTGCTCCAAAATTTGAAACACTTAAAACAGCAAGATGATGGATTATGAGTGCCCAATCAGTAAATCTACACAAATATTCCCAACCTGAAAAGAAACCCTCTGATTTTTGAATCCTTTCTGGTCTCAAGCATTCGAGATAATTGAGGGCTCAACTTTCAGGAGATGGAAGTAGTTCACAGCACTCACCATGTGCCAGCGACTTATATATATATGGCAAATAGGGTCACATATTAGGGAACAGCTTCACAAAATGGCATTAAAGTGAGTACTGACAGATTTTTAAGTCTTATACAAACTATGTTCCTATATGTACTATTATTTTACTAGGTTACAAGTAATTCATCAGTCTTTGGAATCCAGCCTGTTTGACACTCACAAAATAACTTCTTCTGTTTTATTAATAAAACAATTGAGACACAGATAGGTCAAGAAATTGTGCTGAAGGTCACATCATTTTATGTGGGGAAGCCAGAATGCAGCCCCAGCTGTCTGGCTTCTGGTCCTGCATTCCACAGTGCTGAGCTGTGCAGCAAGGGACACAGCTCACTGGCCTTCTCGAGTCTTGTAGGTGTGTCCAGTCACCTCACACTCACCCTTGGCTCCAAGAAGAAGGTGCAGTATCACATTTGAGTGCCCTTCTTTCCACCTAAACCTAACCTGCACACGTGAGGAAGGACTCACTGCCAAGGCACTGTGTTTTTCCCCCAGAGTGGCATCTTCACACCTACTGGGGACTCAGTTTGGACTTCCCAGTAGCCAGCAACAATGATTCTGCCATTCTGAAGGTAATCACAAGCCTGTCCTAGAGTCTCAGGACCCAGGACCCAGTCAGGACAGCACTATGATCTGCCTGTTTTCAAGAGGCCATGGTTATGAAGGATTAAAGCAGAGGTCAGAGAAACATTCTCTCATCACTCATATGGCCTCATGAATGTCAGTCTCTCTGGAACCTTAATTTTCCTTTATGTGAGCTGGGAGAGGATAATTAAATTGTAGGAATGGTTGAGTAAAGCTTGTTGATCACAGACTTATTTGAAGAGTAGTTCTAGAGAAACCTGTTTTGAACAAATAGGCTACAAAGTTGCACATACATACAGACACATTCACTTCGCATGCCACAGAATTTACACTCAAAGACCTCCATATCCTAACCCTTGCAACTTGTCAGTGTAATTTTTATAGATGGAGACACTTTGCAGATGTGGTCAAGCTAAATATTTTTAGAAGAGGTTCTATACCCATGTAGTCATAAGCCATTTCCTCACAGCAGGAATCAGTCCAAGTCTGTGGCTCTTCCTGGGGAATCACAGTGTCTACCCATTGCAGATTGGGAACTAACAATAAACAGACCAAAGAAACAATTCTACCAAGTGCAACCTGGCAAGCCAAGGAATTTACTGGAATCACTCATGCAAGTGTAGGTGAAAGGTTGCTTACAGGAGTAGGGGTGACTCAAAGTCCACCATACATGGGTGACAACTCACAGAAGCTAGACCTCTGTGTTTCTCTGCACCATCTTTGGTGTTCATGCAACTTTGGGGAAGGAGCTTTGTGAATCAAGTAAGTTTTGGGGTTATCCAAGAATATTGGATTGTTTACTTCCCAAATCTTGAGGAACCTCCCTCCTGGAGCAAATGTGTCATTTGGAGTATATTGTCACATGGGAGAAGGAAAAGTTTTTACTGAGTGTCCAGAGTCACAAATAAAGAGTTCCTTGAGCTAAAGGATGCAGGAGGCATCCTCCACAAACAAATGAAGAGTACCATGAACTAAAGGATGCAGGCATCTCCACAAACAAAGAGACAAAGATGTTGATGCTTTCCCAGAGGCAGCAGAAGAAACACAGGCCTGCTGACAGCATCATTTTGACCTATGGGTACCTGTGTCAGACTGGTAAGAATTCCATAAAGTTCTTAC